AAGACTTAATAAACATTTTCAAAAAATGAAAATAAAAAAGCAAGACAGTGGCAGTGATTTAATTAATATTTTATAAAATTTACTATAATAACTACCATAATGATAAATTAAAGACAACATGTTATACTTTTTTCGACTAACTCCCTCTAACAAACGATATATTTAAATGCTCAAAACATATGTTGTTATGTTACTAACAAAGTAAACAATGAAAGTAAAAATTTATTTCTGCTTTAGCATGATGAAATAATATAACTAGGAAGTTTTACCATTATTAGTCAAATTCAGGCTGTAGCGTGGCCTGCCTTGTAAACCTTTACTGTAAATATATGATTTGAATACGTAAAAGTAAACCAGGTACATATTCCAACACATTAAGAGCTATACAAAGCAGGAGAATAGTCCTAGTTAGGTATTATATAATATAAACTATATAAAATAAAACACGAACAAATGCTAATGATATAATTATAAAACAAGAGTACCACTATAAAAAATCAAAGATGTACTCGTCCTGAAAAAGCGTCAATAAATATTATGTTTAACAGAAATGTAAAAGGTTTCATGTTTATATTTCAGCGCCGTCAGACTTATATGACTAAGATAATAACGTTAAACATATGTTTTTTTTTAATTTCTAACATGGATCTATTGTCCAATAGAAACAACGTAAAATTGACTTCATAAATGGTGCAAGTTGAATGAACCCATTCAAATGGTAATTAGTACCTTCCTTTGGTTTATATCGTAGGAAAGCTTTGTGACTGAACTACACTTACATTATTTTGGATTGTTTCTATTAATTAAAAGTGTTTCTAGTATTAGATGTAGCCGACTGGTCAGGTACGAAATAATTCTTAAACGTTTAATAGCAATTATCTTAAAAATGACGATTGCTACACGGTTTCAAGAATTTTATCTACCTCAAAGAGTCAAACACATCGACTTCAAATTATATTTGTGCTTGGCAGTAAATGAATTGTAAATGGGGTATGAAACAAGATTCAAATGACAATTTCAATAATTATTGGACTTACCATCAAAAATATGTTTAAGAATACAATTCCATAAATAATATAGATATATTTGTTTGCATAAAATACGAATGAATGAAACATCATATCTACTCGTATTTTGGACACCTTTGATTCTACAAATAAAGAACATGATAAATATGTTTCAAATTTGACGACGCATGGAATGGATGCAAAATATGTTTCCTTTCAATTATTGGAAATGCAGAAGAGCCAAATATATTATGTTTCAACTATAATTTGATGTTTATTCATTTTGTTCATTCAGTATAAATTTGATGTTTTAACTTCATTTATTTTATGGCTGAATATCCTATAACTTATACTATTGCGGTGCATATTAAATCACAGTAAGAGTCATAACACTGAATTAAATATTATATATTTGTTTTTTTATATACAGCAGACATTGTTATTTCACAACATGAACTCATTTCAGCTAATAGAATTTACATAAGGAAGCTGAACATCTAAATATTACTGTTAATAAATGAAATATAACAAAGTTATAAAAACTCCTCATAGATATTTCCTTTATGACGTGTTTCATTCTTTTAACCTTCATTGTTTTATTGACAACCAGCGTAAGATATCACTTGTTTTAAAAGAGGTCTTTTTTGAAAATGAATTATTTACATTTCCCTTAATATATATCACACCCGGGAAAATATTTAAGTAGGCAATGACAAAAGTTAAAATTTGAGTTGTTTTTAAAACAATGTAAATTTGCTTACAAATTTTTTTAAGTAAAAAAATATAAAACAAAACGGGGCTTTTAAAGAACATCAAGTTATTCGATTTATTACTTGTTTTTTAAATTTTCCCCCGTTTTCCCTGTGGGTACAATTAAATTAAATTACTTAAATGAATACCAGTTATGTTTTAGCTTTTTTAAATCTATTGGGGAAAGTCATTGTGTTTTTTTTGCCCAAACCGAAAAATTTTTAGTGTTTCATATTTCAGGATTAGACAATGATTTAAAGTGTATGCTTCATATGATTCCAATTGAAAATAGCTTCCAGTATGCAATGACCTTTCAGGAAGTAGTTTATTTTTTACTTTACAAAGACGGACAAGAAAAATAAGAAGAAAAAACTATAGTACAGAAATATCTTAAAGATTTACGAGAATATAAAGTCATAATTGAAACAAATGGATAAAAACGTAAGATTTTGAACTTTTATGTCATTTTCAAGAGCAAATTACTCAAAATTGCGACAAGAAAAAGCTCAATTTATTTCAAATGTATTTTTGTTACTTTAGTTTCTTTCATGGCCCAAAATTTATGTAAATACTATACCATAGATTTTATTCTATAGTTGCTTATGCGAAATGATAGAAATTTTCTTCGTGTTATGCAATTTTTTTATAAAGTTTATTTGCAAAATCGTTTATACTTTTTTTAACTTGACAAATAAACTTAAAATGAAATAACAATAAAAAGTTTTTAAATGTTAAAGGTAACAGTATAGGGTCAATGAATCTTTTTATTTGTGCATAAACATCTGCAGAAGCACTATTATACATTTACTACAATGGATTTAATAGGTTCAAAAGTGCTTCTGCAGATGTAAATAAACGAAAAACTTTGCATTAACACTATTATTAAATGTACAGTTAAATTCCCTGTTGGAGGCAAGTGGTTTGAAGTCAACGACATTAACCATTCGGCTTCGGACGCCCCGACTGTTACTTGGTAATAAATAAATGGATTAAGTTCATACTTTGACAAAACATTTTTTGACAAGACCTTTTAAAGTTGAACTGAAAAATTGGCTTTAGCTTTTTAAAAGACTTGGCCGTATGGTGAAAATTTTTTAAAATATGGTTTTTAAATTGTCTTGATTTTTTATTTAGTAGGGTTGATTTTAAAACTTTTACAACATTTCTACCAAAAAAAAAAATTGAAAATTAGATGCGCCTTGCCATAAAATTTCTTTTATATCAAGTTTGATAGAAATTCTTGGGTTTTTTTTGGTAACTGGCTATAACTTTGTTATTTAAAAATGGATTAACTTCATATTAAGACCTTTTAGGTCAGGATCTTTATGTATGTCAAACTCAAATTGACCTTTACTTATGTATGTATGATCAATGGATTATTTTCATACATCGACAAAACAGCCTATTAGACAAGACATTCTAAAAGGTTGAACTGACCTTAACTTTGAGCTTTAAATTATCTTGACCATCTATGTTCAAATATTTAATTTTAGTTCACTTGTCATTATTTTGTTATGTACGATTTTGATTCATATGTTGACAAAACAACATTTGTGACCAAACAGACATGTGCAATAAATAAGGTAACACCTTGACCTTTAAATGACCGTTGACTGTCAAATGGTTGAATTTTGATTATATTTTCTTAACTTTGTAATTTTTTAATAGTAGAAAGGAAGGTATATTGCTTCATCTATTTTGTTTTCTTTATTCCTCAATGAATTTAGTAGCTGTATATACTTCTTGTGTCCACTCGAAATTGTCTACTAGATAAGATTCAGTCCCTGTGGTGAACGAGATTTCAATTTTCGAATCCATTCTTCTTCAAGTCTTTTATTTATATCTCGGAATGTTGAATTATTTTGACGTCAATATCGCTGCAAGATTGAAATGCCGCGAGACCGGCTTATCGTAATTCCTAGATTTGACGTCTCCTACATGTCCATAAAATCTGTCGCGTAATGTATTACCTGTTGTCCAACGTATTGTTAATTGCATGTTTTTGCATGTGATGAGAAATATCACACTAACCCTGAGACATGTATACTACCCGGGGGTGATGTATGTTTTTCTTGTAACGTTGCTCGTAAAGTCTACAGAATCAACGATATATTTACATATAAAGCAATTTTTTCCACACGTGTAACTCCCTTACTGAGATTGTTCAAGTTCGAATCAGATCGGACTTATATATCCTTTACAGATTCAGCCTTATATCCTTGTGTTATTTGCAAATGTTGAAGACGAATTGGATAGTAGAAGGTTGAGGTGTTTGTTAAGGATACTTTGTGCTCAATGTACATATGGTTGTTTGTGTAGATATATGGTATGATACGACATTTTTCTTTCCTTTTGTTGTCAACATGTTGTATCTGTTCATGTTTCCCGTCTTTTGTTATCGCTTTTTGCATCAGGATATTTAGGTTACCTCTAGTTTTTAGGTTTATTGCAAGATTATTTGTACACGCTATGAATGATTGATCATCGCTACAGATTCCACGTATGCTTTATGCTTAGCTTTACGGAATACTGTTCTTTTGGTGCACTGGATGGTAGCTGTAATAATGTAGATACATGTGAGCGTCTGTCGGTTTTGTATAAACTGTGGTGTGGAGGCGACCTTCTTCATTTTTTGTGATATGCGTGTCCGGGAAATATACCTGGTTAAAGTCGATCAGGGGTGCGTTTCATAAAGAAACTTAGGACCGATTTTAGTCGTAAGTGTAAAACTGGCATAAAAATGCGTTTCAAGAAAAGTCCTAAGTGCAAACTTAAGACTAAAGTTATGACTATTCCTATGGGTGCTTCTGAGCACTCCTAAGTTTTGTCTGAAGTCATAAGTATAAAAACACGTGCGGAAACAATATGGCGGCACTGGCTGTTTTGTTTGATGAAAGACGTGCTTTGAGGCGTGAACGTGTCTTTCGGGACCGTTCACAGGCCCTAAGACGTATACACGGACAAAGAACTTTTGTCTAGATATAGATTTCCTCGGAATGAAATTCTTAGATTGACTCACTTAATTGAGGAGGATATCAAAATGCCCACAATGAGAGGCAAAAGTATTCCTCCCCATATACAGGTATATCTTTTTAACGATCTGTTACTTATTTTTTATTTTACAGGCTACTTTTGGTGTTGTACATCCATAGTAACGGTTACCGAGATGTAATACAGTACACCGCTCTTCAATGGAGATTGGTTACTTCCGCAAGTACCCACCAAGTACCCGTATGAAATTTGACAGCTGATCTTGTTCAAATCATATCCAAATCTGCTGAAGATTGGTACATTTTTGTCTTCGAGGAAGCAATTGTTGTTCATTTAGTCACTAATAATGGATACCATTGATGAAGATGTCATTTAAGAATAACAAATGAATGCAACAAAGATCATGAACCGGAACCGAAGGTATTACTTTCTATCCATCAAAGTTGCTACATGCATTAATCAGGTCTAGGATTTCATGATATTTATGGACTGTCAGTAAATTTATGGATAGTCTATAAATTTAAAGATTGTTCAGTCCATAAATTTACAGATCCTCAATGTGAAATTTGCTATTTTTAGTTTTATACTAAAATCCGCAGCTTAAAACAAGTTGTTATATTGATTGTTTCTATTAGCAAAGCTAATGAGATAAGTTTCATCTTTGTATGATGACTTTGAAATTTTTGTTAAAAGTGAAAATTGAAAGTCAACAAATTGTTCTGAATCTTATCATACTGTTACATTTAATCATATAATCAGTAAATTTATTCTTATTAACCTGCGGTTTTTAATTTAAATACAACTTATACTATTTTCGCATTTAATGTCTATAAATTTACAGATAGAAAAATCTGTAAAATTATAGATGGTCCATAAATTTACAGACTGTCCGTAAATATCATGACATCCTAGACCTGTTAATAATAAAACTAATATAGATCTGGTAATGTTGAACAATATCGAGGTTTTTAATATGTGTTTCTGAATTTATTGAATTATGTTGTAAAACAATGCTGGGGTACATATTATTTTAGGTCATCTACATGAGGGAACATGACACCACAATCCCCCAGACACTTTATCCCTCATACATATATATGTAGTTGGGGGAACGTTATCAGTACAATATTGACAAATGTATAAACAGAACTGTTAAAATTATATTCTGTAAGTTTGATACAGAGAACATTTTTTTTTCAAAAATATACCCCCAGAAAACATTAGTATTATCATTTCTTAAATTTGATAACTTTTAGGTTGATAATCTAAATTTAAAGTGGTGCAAATTGTTAGCAAATTGTGGTGAATGGTCAAGAATTGGTAATAGCATATGAAGTGTGATGGAATCTTTTAACTTTTTAATGACATGTGTTTTTTTTTATCCTTCTAGTTAACAAAATGCAGTTTGTTGGACAACCCATACCTTTTTGGTTAACTTAACCATGATGAACAACCCAGCTTATGTATTGGACAATATCCAGCATGTGTCATAGCCAAGGTAGTATTCTATGCTTCCAAGAATAAATTGTTAGGTTTTATGTCTTGACATTGCAGACGTCATATCAACACTTTTTTGTGATACTACATAATATCAAAGATGTTCATTAAGCTAACTATGATGCATTTCAATGTCCAGATAAGGTTGAAAGGCATGATTTAAGGCAACTACCTGAATCACTCATTTTTTAATGACAATATATGTTCACATTGTGACCTCTATTTAACATGTTGATTAAAGGGACTCCACTGAGGTTTAAAAACCTAAAAACATAACATTTGAATTTTATACATTTTAAATGAGCTAGGGCACTTTCAACAGAATTATATGCCAAAATTGTTAAGAAATATACTTTGAAATAAATTGAAAATTCATTTTTAGGCATTTTTTTCAGCCAGATTTGAGTGAAATTTTTAAAATGCTTTTCATTTTGTGTCATATTTTACAATTTTAAAAATTAGTCTGGAAAAACGAAGTGCGCAAATGATCTGATATTTAGCACAAAGATTAGAGGTCTAAACCTACATCAAATGTTACATTTATCTGGAACAATTATTTTCTTTTCCCATCAAAAAAACCTCAGTGGAGTCCCTTAGAGAAATAATGTATCCCAAACTGTGATTCTGTCAATAGGTAAAATCACCAGTTCGGATATATTATTTCAATTCTAACACATCAAAAAATAAATGCTGTTTCTGTACCTATTTTCAGTGTGTCACATTTTTAAATGGTAATGTCACATTTATAATGACTACGTCACATGTCTAAATTTCATATGTCAACAGTGATTTTGTTGCATAATAACACACACTTTAGGTTTTTCTTTGTTCAATAGGGTAAAATTCGGGTTGTGTTAGAATTTAAATTAACAAAGAGACAGTCAAGCAATTGTTATTATTTTCTAATAATCAAAGTTGAGCATATTGTAACTAAATGTCATATTCACAGGTTTAAGTTTTAGTAAACAATTATTTTGATATTTTTTCTACATTGTATTATATCCAAGACAGTGCTGTATACTTGATCAAGTTATTTGTCTACATTTCCTTTAAAATAAAATGATATAAGGCAATCTCTTTTATATTTAATGTGAAACAAAATTCAACTCTGACATGATCATTAGGTCATTGTCAAATAAACTCCCCCACTTAAAAAAAAAGAAAGAAAAAAAACAACCTTAAACTCCCTTTGCATTGCATAAGTTCTCATGATTTATTTTGTAATTTATTTCAGAGAGATGCTGCTGCTTATGATATGTAATGGTAAAGACAGATTAGAAGTACAGGATACAGTACAACAAACAGTCAAAAGTTAGCTTACAAGATTTGTGGAAACACTAAACATAGGATTGTGAAGATATATATTATTTGACAATCTGAATATAACATTCACAGTAGATAGGTCATTTCAAAGAAAGTGCTCATGTGCTCAAATTATGTTGTATTTGATAACTTCATACTATGGAGATAATGAATTTGTGCAAGACATTAGAATGTGTTTTGTACATTCTATCAATCATGATCCATCAAAACTGAACATTACTTGTTTAAATGGCTAACAAATTGAACAATACTGTTATATCTTTATAAACTGATTTTTGTTTTGAAATTTTACATCTATTATTTCTATTGTATAATAAATAAAATAAATGACACAAAACAAAAGCTTTAAATAATGTGTCCCAATAGAGGTTTGTTTGAATCCATGCTTTTTTTACATACAAGTAAGTATTGCAAGCTTAGTGAAACGTTCTTGGGCGTTGAAAAGCTAGTTTAACACCCAAGAGTGGTTTGTGTCGATATATTTTGAATATTATCCCTTATGTTACTTCACTTACTTTAGTTTTTGCATTCTATTAAGTTCATTATTAGTATTCTGACGTTCTACTATCGTCGTCACACTAGCTTTGAATGTGCAGTACTGATACTTTTGATAAAATGGTAAATCAAGACTTTTAGAATATTGCCCAATGGGTTATAGAAATCCCCAATCAACTGCTTTATTTCACAGGAATTTGTTAACAAGGGAGATCAGTGATAACAAGTGTCGCCTCATGTTAGCCAACTGAATGTAACAAGTACTGTATAGCAGGAGCCATAAAAAACTGTAATGAGGCAAAATTAAAATTGCGTTAGTTTTAAAAGAGGGTAGTCTGAACAAACTTTGAGAATAGAAACCCGTCAAGGACCATGGAATAAATCACCAAAAAGGAAAATTATTACAATATACACAACTGAACTTGATAGTTTTTGTTTGTTTTGGGTTTTACGTCACATCGACACAGTTTAGGTCATATCGCGACGTTCCAGCTTTACTGGTGGAGGAAGACCCCAGGTGCCCTTACGTGCCTTATTTCAGGCACGAACGGGCACCTGAGTAGAACCACCGACGTTCGGTAAGCTAGCTGGATAGCTTCCTCACATGAAAGAATCCAAAGTCCCTGTCAGGATTCGAACCCACAGCGGTGAGGGGCAAGTGGTTTGAAGTCAACGACCTTAACTTGATAGTGATTATTCCTGTAAAATTTGGATGAAATGGCACCTGTGATTTCTGATTAGTCCAGACAAGTTTTTTGACAGACAGACATGGGGGGAAGTTATCCCTTTTGTCGCCAATACTCTATAGAGGGGACACAAAAATTGGGGTTTGACATGCTTTAGAAAGAAACTGATTAAGATTTGTGGGAATAACATCAAACTGAGAAATGTATCATTAAAAAGAAACTACCGGTATAACAGTTTTCAAATTTTATTAATCTTCATTTATGAAATGGTCTAATGGAAACTCTGTAAGAATATAAAAACTCGATGTCAAGGAACAAGTAATATTGTAAACTATAACAAAAGCAGATGTATATAAAATCTAAATATTAAACTATTATCACAAAGTTCATATTTATATCTGAAATAGTGCATGTGTAAACATTACTAGTTGCTATTGCTGAGGGAAAACCACAATTTCAAAAGATGTTTAGGTAAATGACCTTCCATTTCATATATTGATGATTTTTACCAGTTTACATTCAATAATGAATTTTATCACACACCCTTGCTGATTTTGCCACTCCGTAGTAAATATGGTATTGCACGGCCGTGCATATATTTTGGCGCGATGTTATAAGCGTTATACAAACATAGTGTAAAGACGCGCTAAATGTTCATTTATACTATAGGCGCATCAATGAAAAATGACTTTTATTTTACTTAAAAGGTTTGTTTTTGGGTATGTGATAAATAGAACATGTAGAACATTAAATTCGTGTAAGTTCAATACTTAATTTATTGCACTCTTTAAATAAAAAAATATATAATGCTCGCCAGAGGCTCGCACAATATAATTTTATTCAACTCGCGCAATAAATTCAGTATTGAAATTACACTCATTCAATATCCTCTATTAATGACAAATTCTAATAAGAGATTATATTATTTCACATCTTATAAAATTCTAACTAATAAATTTCCAGCAAATTGGACTTACTCTATTTATCAATTCAATTCATTATTTGTGTCTAATCTTACCAAATTTAAATCCCTTTTTTCCAGATTACTAAAAATTTTTCATATCATATTACATTATTGGACTTACTCTCCTTTAATTAATCAGAGTCTAAAAAGTTCATAACATAGGCTTGTATTGGTATTTATTGATAGCAAAATAATGATATTTTTAATGCATTGTTTGGTTTAAATACTGATTTAGATCATATCAATACATTGATGCATGTTAAACAGTGCATTGCCTTTTAAATTAAGATTTTTCATTCCACCATTAAATGTTTATCAGATTATAACCTTTTAAACATTTTAATTTCTTACATAATTGAGCTGCTGGACTCTGTAACAAACGAGAATTTTTGCCCAATAATAGTTAAAAAAGAACCCCTTTCCCAATAAAATTGAAAAATTGTGATTTTTATGCTTTTTCTTAGCCAAATTTGTCTAAAAAGTGTGTTAAAAACGCTTTCAATGTTTGAATTTCCAATTTGAATTTAACTATTTCTTGAATAAGGGGACATGTTGCAAATGAATGCGAAAAATTTTTGCAATTTAATATTTGGTGCGGTTCGAAAACCCATTCAAAATACAACAAAAATAATTTTCAGTCCCAAACATTTCAAAAATTTACTCAGGTAGGGCGAGTCCCCAAAAAGGGGGTTTAAACTTAAAAAACAAATTTTATTATTATTTTATTGAATTGCTCCTTTTAATTTTGGGAAAAAATAAAATTTTTTGGGGTTTAATTTTCTAATAAAAGATCCTATGCAATTCTTGAAAATTTTTTTTATTCATTTAAACAATTTAAAAGAAAGAAATGCATACTAAAATTGAAAACATGAAAAACTAGAACTCTCGCTGAATGCGATTCATACCCCCACCAATCTCCTTGACAGAAGACAACTTTGAGAGGTAGTTAAGGGAATGACTTTAGTGACACAAAAACATATACATAAAAAGAAATTATCTCTGGTGAAAAAAAAGTACTTTTAATAGTATAAATATCTATTGTCAATCATGTTTTAAACAGTTACAAATAACATTTCATTTTCACAAAATACTAAACATTTTCTAAGTCAATTTTTGACCTTCAAGTGTGACATTGGCACATAACCTTGTTAAGGTGAACATTTGAGTATAGGATTTATAGAGCGAACACAACATATTTGACTATGTAAATTTGAAGACTTAGAAGGGGGCATAACTTTAATGCAATACAGAATTATGAAACTTGACCAACATATCTAAATTGTGACCCTTTATATAGACACTTTTCTAGTTTCAAAAATGTTCAATTACATGTTAAAACTTAATAATATTTTCAAAGTCAATTTTTGACCTTTACCCAGCAAAAGGGTGACATGGGTTCTGCACACCCTCTTGTTGAGGGAAACATTTGAGCCACAATCTTTTACTTAGTGTAGGACTTACAGAGCGGACATGCCATTCTGTCTAATATATTATAACTTTGTTCGATATTTGACGCGACAAAACAAATCTATTATAGCCCCCCCCCCCTCCCACATTTTGTGGTGGGGGTATAATAAAATACCAAGCGTCTTATAACATAAAATTTATCTAGTACAAACACATTTCTGTTACTATTGAAATTTGAAGAAATAATATGACAAATTCATTCCGAAAAAAATGAAAATAAAACTTGCTACTAGATTCTACTGCTTTCAACATACAAACAGTAAACATCTCTGTACAGAACTGTAGAAGATTAGACAAGAATTTCAACCAAAGAACTTTGTTGTTGTATTTTTTAAAAAACAAAATGCTACTATTAGATCTACAAAGTGTATTTAAGACATTAATACACGTCAGAGTAGCGCCGGGAGGTGATAATATGCCCTGAATGAATAATGGCCCTCGGTCCATTATTCATTTTGTGGGCCAATTATCACCTTCCGGCCCTCTCCTGCCGTGTATTAACCTCTTAATAATAGCAAAATTTAGACATTTGACCTTCAAGGTCAAGGTCATTTATGGATAAAGGTCAAGGTTAGTGTGGTCTACCAAAAGCTCTTGTCCAAAGGTTTGTTGTGGCCAAGTATAAAGACAATACACCACAAACCAAAAAAAATTATGATCCAGGTACAAGTTTGCGGATGGCAACGCCGCCAAGACTGTAACAATATTTCTACTTTTTTCTTCAAAAAAAAAGTTGAGGTAAAAAAATATTGAATCTTAACTACAGATTCAATTAGTTCGTTTAAAATTTATAAAAATTAGATGTTATGCATTAAGTACATATCTTTGATGTATATACAAAATTATACATTCTATATTTAGGTGCTGACCACCCTCAGATTTCTGGCGAAAGGGGATTACTTATCAGAAACAAGTGACCTACATGGCATTTCAAAGTCATCCAGTAGCAGAATTGTTGGAAGAGTATGTGAGGCCATTTGTAATAAGGTTAACAACATTAAGATGCCAGATCACACTCAAGCAGCAATAAACAAACAGAGGTTTCATCAAATTGCCCGCTTCCCCAATGTAATTGGGTGTATTGATGGCACCCTTTTACCCATTATGGCACCACCAGGGGCAGAGGAACCCATATTTGTATGTCGCAAAGGATACCATGCCATAAATGTGCAAGCAGTATGTGATGCAAATATGAGGTAAATAAAACCAAAAAAATTTCTCAATGGGTCTTTCTTAACATTGTAATGTTTCCTTGTAAAGCTCTTACTACTGTATAATCTAACAAGCAAATTTTATCATACTCACACCTATAACATTTATTTGATTAACTTAATAACAGTTACTCAATATTGTTTTAAGGTACATAAATGCAGTTATACGGTGGCCTGGCAGTACACATGATGCTTTTATATTAGCAAATTCAACACTGCCAGGCATATTAGACTCAACGAACAATGGCTGGCTGTTAGGGGACTCCGGCTATCCATTGAAGAAATGGCTGATAACACCGCTACTGAATGTGAATACCGAACAGGAGAGGCGTTTCAATGAAGCACGCATGGCAACAAGGTGCCTTATTGAAAGGTCTTTTGCACTTCTGAAAGCCCGCTTCAGGTAAATTTCACTTTATCTACATGGCATGTTCTTGTGATAAAAACAGTTATAAATAAAGAAAAAAAGAATTATCATTTTAACATTCAAGGTTATTATGAACTTGACCTTCGACCTAATGACATCAAAATCAGTAGTGGTCTTCTACTAGTATTGATAAATTAAAATATGAATCACCAAGACTTCATACTTCAAGATAATAAGAAGTATAGAAGATAATGAGTGGAAACAATTCTAACATTAAAGGTCCATTGATATAAATACCCTAAAATCAATAGGGTTCATCTACTAGTCATGACCTATCAATATGTGAAATATAAATACTAAGTGATAAAAACTTTTCAAGATATTGAGCAAAAATCGTTTTGACATTAATGACCCCTATGACAGAATGTGAAATATGAAAACTTTGTGGTAAATAGTTTTTAAGATAATCAGCAAAAAGCATGTGATCTGCCAACGGACAGACAAGACTGACTGCCATTAGCAAAACAATATACCACCTCTTCTTTGATGGTGGGCATATAAAAATCATTCACTTGCTATAAACTGATATATATTATCTACAAATGTGAAACTGTAATAATAAAATTATTCAAATTTCGTTGAAAAATGACTATATTTTTTGCATGATACATTTTGCAGATGTCTTCACAAAACTGGAGGTGCACTTCCATACAGACCATCCACGTGTGTTAAAATTATAGAGTCATGTTTCAAACTGCACAATATGGCGCTGGACTTAAATCTTCCAAATCCTAATACTGACAGCATTGTTGTTGACAACAATCAAGAAATCGTACAGAATTGTAGCAGGGATGCGTTTGAACAGAGGAGGAGACTTACACAACGTTTTTAAATATATATATGTATAAACGATTTCCAAGAAGTTACTCATTGGCCATAGGCGGAATACTCATTATCAGTCACATGACACTCAAAATCACTTGATAACATAGGCAATTTTGTTTCTATATAGTAGCAAGTGTATTAAAGCTGCACACCTCCACATGAGCCAAATATCTTAAGAAATTCAATCTTTAGAAAAATGTATTAAGAGCTTAAGATAGGTAAAAAGATTCATTCATATTTTTTTAATAAAATAAATAATATCATCGCCATTAAAGGTTGATAGTCTAATTTTTTTTCAGGTAAAGACTTCTTGTACTTAATGAAAAATCTGACTCCCAGTGGTAATAGTAAAATTAATATTAAAGACATTTTATTTAAACTTGTATTTAAGCATAAAAGAAGAAGAAAATTTGTTTGTTTGTTTAATAAGATGCTATTTTATTTCATCTTGTGAACTTTAAAAAACAGTGTTCTATGGCACTTGTGAGAGTACTGTTTTGAAAGTTCACTCAATGAATTAAAATTTATCTTACACACAAACAAACAAATATCACCTATCTCTTGAAAATGTTTCAATACAGTCAAAATATATATATGGTGTTCAGAAAGCTGGTGTCTATTTCCATGAAAATGTTTGCACGTTTTTTCCACCTCTGTAAGAACAATAGGGGATGAAAAATGTGTAAACACTTTCACTAACATTCAAGTAGAGTATTACTTAATAAGCCTTCAATTTGTTTATCACGCATAATATGCAGCATTGACTCAACAGCTTCTGCAGTTCTCTTCTGGAAAGAAACACTCTCCTCCAGAAGCTGTACTTTTCTTTTCTTCAATTCCAAGGTCTCCCTTGCCAAGGCCAGCTTTTCCTCCTCAATTTCCAAGAAGCGCCTCTTCTGTACATCTTCAGCTGAGGTTAAAAATCCATAATTCAACAACAAGTTTATTGCACAAATCAATTTAGTTCTAATAATTTGTCAATATACATTTCAAACTGATGTCTTACATTAAAATAGACTTTTAACCATTAAACTGCTAAACTGAACAGCCCTGTATGACTTTAGGCAAGATGTCTACAGTCTAAGATAAGTCATATTAGACTAAATTCATCATGTTTCTCATTTAAAACAGAAAAGATTTAAAATCACATGTTTCCAATAGGAAGTAATTTATCCTAAACACTTATTTTATCGCTAAATAAAATGAGTGTCTGTCTTATAATAACAGTTCATAACAATAATGGCAATGAGTGTGACTTCTTGCACAGAAGAATGTAAATGAGCATTTGTTGTACTACATACATGGTAGAGTCATGATATCACTGATTGTTTTCTGTTACAAAAAAAATGTAATGAGCTAATACTATTTTGCTTAGATTTTAACTTTGCATGCATTACCTTTACTGATACTGGTTGTAAAGAATGCAATAATTATACATTCAAATTTATATAATTGCGATAGATTATTAAAGAATAGAAGATAATTTATTTACAACACATGCGACAGATAAATACTTACTGCTGCAAATACCCCGTCTCTTCTCTCTGCTCATGGTTTTTTTCTGTAAATTGATAATTCAAAACACATGTAATAGTTCTGTTAAATTTGGTCTAATTTTGTTACATTTTTAATATGATGTATGTTGACATCGACTTTATTTTCTTAAAGAAGCAAAATTTACGCATGACAGCATTTATTTCTGCCTGTTATTCCATCTCGTTATGATTTTCTATTCATTCGCATTCAGATATAGTCCGGCTGCTGTGAAAATTATATTTTATAAATTTCCCTAGTGTTTTATCAGAATATTATCATCTGATATATTACAATAAAACACTGGAAAGCATGCAATAAACTTTTCAATTCAAAGTTATAGGAAATAATTTAACATGCCATTTGAAAAAATAGCTATTTTGAGATAGGGCAATAAATGTGAGAATAAAGTAGTGACAGTAGATTACATTTCCCATTATTAACTGGACATTTGTTTAAAAGAATATAAAATATGATAAACAAGATCAACAAGGAAAGGAGGCGTTCAATGAACGCAACCCCCACATGACCCAGCAACAAGAACCAATGGCAAGGAGCCCAGGGGGACCCCAAACAAAAACAGGACAGGGCAAAGACAGAGCACGGACAGGTTAATCATTAAATGATAATTAATTTGTAACTGATTAGGAATTCAAAGAAAATAAAAATAGGCCCACAAAGGGGAAGGGGACAGGAGACCGGGGGGGGGGAGGGGATGGGGAGTAATCAAAGAAATAAAAACTAGAGGCAATGGGGAAGATACTTACCGTAGACGAGAAAACAACAAGGGACACAAGCAAAAGTGTCACCAAAACAGTATGAAACAACATAAGACATACATCTGAGGAACACAGTGGGGCGCCGCCTTGAAACGGTCAGTAGCATAATTATGACTGCTGGGGAGTTTTAACCGGTTAATGGTGCACCAGACCTCGCTCTTAGCCCCACCATGTTGCTATAAACGAGACAGTGTAAATTAAAAAATGAATCCCCGCCAAGTAAAATTCTAACAGTTGTTATGGTTACAAAATGTTAAATAAGTAAAACACCAAAATGATCATGTAGAAATATATAAAAGTAAACCCAATGACAATAACAAAAGTACTCAATGTCCTAAAGGAAGACAGAGCAACAAGAAAATCACCTACAAGGGCCCGACGAAGCAAAGCAGAAGACGAACATTAAGATAATTCAATCCAAAAGGGCTTTAAGAACTGTCCATCATAGAGTCTCCCACTTGGTCCGTCAGATGTTATCAAAAGAGGAAAGCGTAGTGTCCAACTGTAAAAGGTTTGAACACTCAGCATGCAGTATGTCTTAAAATAGTAGGGTCATAACCTCTTTTAATAAAACGTTTAATGATTTTAGTAAAAACAGCAGAAAAATTACCATGACCCAAAATCTTACGAAGTTTGTAAATCACATCGCCATAAAAACCAGGCTGGCTAATCCCTTGTCGCAGAAGAGTTTTTAAATCACTATTGAATTTGGAAATTAAATCAAAGTTACGATTGTAAAATTTAGTAAAATATTTCCGTAATTTATGATAGCGGTAGCCCTGTTTTAGAAGCTTGCTGGTAATAAAAATATTCCGCTCGTTGAAATCTTTTACGTTGCTACAAGCTCTAGCGAATCTAATTAACTGGGAAACATAAACCCCGTAAGATGTTGCATGGGGTACGTCTCCATCTAAATGTGGATAATTAACTATACAAAAGTCAAAGTCATCTCTTTTATCATAGATTTTGGTGTGAATAGAATTGTTGTTGATAGTAATATGAAGATCCAAAAATGATGTACTAAGATTTGAAGAGTTCGTTTTATTAAGTTGTAGTTCATGCGGATAAATGTCAGACACCATTTGATCAAAATAAGGATTATCTAAATTAAAAATATCATCAAGGTATCTGGAAGTATTATTAAATGCGACTATAACATCTTGTTGTTTATCTTCAGAGAGACTCAACATAAAGTCTCTTTCATAGCAGTACAAAAACAAATCGGCGACCAGGGGTGCACAATTAGTACCCATAGGAATTCCTATGATCTGTTTAAATAGGGTATTACCAAACCTGACATAAATATAACTTAAAACTTAGGTTAATTCATCTATACATTTACCTATCATTTAATCAATGACTGCACATCGGTTCATCACATTTTTTTGTATTGATTTGTTGTGTAGTTATGTTTTGCATAATCAATCCAATATGTTCAATTGTCTGTGAAGTTCTACTAAAGTTCTGTACTTGTGTTTTGCCTAACCAATTCAATATGTTTTAATGTTTATGAAGTTCAATTCAACAACATTTAAACAGCTTAACAAAGGAAGGGTGCAAAGAACCTAAGTTGAAGATTATACATTAAGAAAGTTAAACTATTAAGCACTTATATAATTTAAGCTGATATAATATGTAATAATTGACCATGCGTAGAAATACAATTCCAATGGATGATAATGACTTATATACACGTTTACAGTCTCACCTTTGGAGGAAGAGCTTCTTGCACTAACCTGGTCCCCAACCAATGAATCTTCAAAGTAGAAACCAATACAAACATCTTTATTTTGTTCCAATGGAATCATAAGAAAACCAGCAACATGTAGTTAAAATTTGTAAATCAAACATGTATATAGCATCAATTTTTCTAAAATGCCTCACACTTTCATAAGATGATGTTACAAGCTTGAGGTAAAACTTATGAATGACTGTTCACAGAGACAACAAATGTACAATATAAACCTTAAATATAAGCATATGGTCCATATTTAAATAGCTTGACATCAAATAACAAGAAAGAAGCTCAAAAGTGAAATCTCTTTGTAAGCTGATATCAAAGTTTAATGTTACCTCTAAAAGCAATGGATGTAATCGGGATTTAAAATTAGATGATAAGGTCAAAATCTAGGTCAGCAGATCAACATCTTATACTGTGGACATGGTATAAACACTAACAGCCTAAAGTTATGATCAAGGTTAAAGTTTGTAGACATCAATGGCAATGGCGATCTGACTATTGCCAATCTGACTGTGACAATAGCTCAATTATTTAAGAAACCACACAAATACTAATAAATACCTTTAACTGTGGTACTACTGTCAACTTCTTCCTCTCTGCCTTCTTCTACGGTAACATTAACTGAAATGTTGAAAATAATAAAGCAGACATTCAATGAGAGTAGGTTAAATACTGAATTTACCTGGTGAAAGTCGATCTGGTGCGTAAATCTTATTAAGTTATGAAATGTGTTTTGTGTTTGTGGCATTTTTCATACCTGTATATAATCTTACTAACTTCTTAGGTAGTATTCAGCTGAACTGAGTGGGGTGGGTCATGCAACTTTTAAGATCGTTCATCACGACATTATTGTTGTTTATACATGTTATGTGGTACTTTTAGTTTCTTCTATTGGGCCATTTTCAACATGGATGGTTCCAGTATTCCTACTTGAATACTGTATAATCACCCTTAGGAT